GTACCCTCAGGTCCCCTCTACATGTTGCCTATGCTTACAGGCAGCCTCCAGATTGCACGTCACTAGCTGCACACTGCTGGGGTAGCCCACCCCACCAATGTCCTCCTCAGTAACTTCCACCACCACAGGGGATAAACAATGGGCACACAACCCTTGCCCTCTGCTGAGCAAGCAATGCAGGCAGAATGCATACATCGGGGCTCTCTCTTGCCCCATGGCAGTGACGGAGGTGGCAACTAGGGGCCACAGGCTGCCAGCTGGACAGCCCTGAACTACAGAATTCTCTGACAAGCCAGTTTTTGTTAGATTGCATTTCCAATGAAGAATATACCACATAAAGTTGGTTACCTGATGTCCAAAGTTATGTTTTGCACTCTAACCTCTGTCTGGCTTAAAAAAAAAAATAATCAAGCAAACTTAAAAAGCAGAACAAGTGAAAGGGATGACAATAGTTATTTGTTGCATTTAGTTTTCATAAGTAGGGCTTTTGGATGCAATTTCATTAAGTGCCAACACATCTTCATCAACCAACTCAGGCCATTAGACTCCACATCAAATTCTGATGTATATGGGCTGGAACTCCAAAAGGATTTCTGGAGCCAGTAGTAATACAATGTTTTAAAAACATCTGTGGCCTTCATCAGGTTGTATCTGCTCAAACTTCCTTTTGAAGACAGAACAGTTATTCTAGGTGTAGACATTTACAGTGAATGAAAAAGGAAGTTTGTTCAGTTCTGATATTAGACTTAATATGAAAGCCAGATGACCCCCTACTGCCTCCTCTAAACATATGAATTAAAGAACCAGTAGGTAAAAGTACAAGTGTGTTGCAACTAATTTACATAATTAGGTTGCAGGTTGGTTTAATAATGGCTTAATATAAAATGACCTATGAACATTTTATTATATGAGAAGTATGCAGAGCTGACCTGAGCAGGTACAGGTGTGGGTGCGGGGCCCAGGGCAAATCAGCCCATGCAGGGCTCTGCCCCTGCTCTGATCCCACAGGCCTAGCTGAAGAAGCTGCCGCCGCCACCACCATTGGCAGTGGCATCGGCAACAGGGGACGGGTAGCAAGTGGCTGGACGTGGAGCCCCTGCTCTGCCCCGCTCTGTGCCACTGCTGTTCTGCCTCGCTCCATGGGGCCCCCCCAAAGCATAGGGCCCAGGGTGGCCATCCCAATTCGCACCCCCCCCCCCCCCCCCCCCAACCCCCCC